CCTGGAAGAAGAAGAACAAGATGGATAGGCGAGATCAGCAAATACGATGCAAAAATCATCTATACCCCTGGAAGAACAAACTATTTAGCTGATGCTCTCTCCCGCCTATATGAGAATCAAGACATCACAGACCCCCCTCTCATTCACGACCACACAAGACAAAGTGAGGACAGCCCTGACAACACCTCCTATGAACAAGAACCATCAATGGCTACCGTCCGCTCCGCCGCACCCTCCAATCCTTTCTCTTACACCATGTACAGTGCTGCCGGAACAGAACGAGAAAAGAACATTGATGAAGAATGGAAAGATAATTGCACGCTCCGCAGCACACCTCCTGACGAACTTGAACAAAGCAGACTCCACTGGTCCCACTGTTACCACGACACCTGCCCTTTTCACCAGACTGAGATTAAGTTCGGAAACAGATACCAGCGACCCTACTATATGCCTGCTGATGATTCCAAAGACACCAGCTTCGACACCGCAGAAGGGGAAGAAGAGATGATCGATGAAAATGGATCAACCCAACCTCCATATACCCATAATCCCGTTCCAACACGATACTAAGCTCTTGAAGAACTCGAACAAGCAGCAGCCTACGTGGATACAATATCCTATTTACACCCCCCACAGTCAGCCCCGCCATCCTCTCCTCCCATAATCGATTCACGACCACTATATGGTGGACCCTTACGAGTATATAACAATGAAACCATTGTCTCGGTCATACCCCCTACTATTCCCGAGCATCGGCGTCAACTCTATGAAACCTTTGAGGAAGAGGAAGCCCCTATCGAACCAACAAGAGGATCCCTAATCGAGGATGAACGAGATGTTAGATCAACCACACAAGAATTAACCTCCTCTTTCCGAAGCCAAATGATAGCAGGATACCGCCATGACCCGATTTACTTCAAAGCCATGGATAGCTCCAGGCATGGAGACCTCGCCCCCTACAACATATCAAACGGAATGGTCTTTACCAGCACCCGTTAAGGTGAACATTGCCTATACATACCAAAAGGCCATATGTTCAATGGAATGACAATTAGAGAATATGTCATATCCAAGATTCACAACAAAGAACACCACAGCGCAGACCGCAACCTTCAATATGCTTCTGAATATGTTTACTGGCCTGAGATGTGCAAAGATTTCCGCGATTTCATCAAACAATGTGAACTCTGCCCGGGAAACAAGGAGCGAACACAACTACCTGAAGGAAAGGCACAGACCCTCCAACTGTCATGTGAAATATTCAAATCATATGCCATCGATTTTGCAGGACCATTCAACAAATCCGCTGGATTCAACACGATCTTGGTAGCTGTGGACCGATTTTCTGGATATACCTGGCTCATTCCAATGAAAGTTACCGATTCCTCCAAAGACACCTAGAATAACCTCCAACGATACCTGTTTACCCCCCATGGGTACCCCTTATCTATTGTCAGTGACGCTGATCCCCACTTTACCGCTAGATTCTGGAAGCAAACCTTGACCTCCCTCGGAACAAACCACATTATGGCTGCCCCTGGACATCATGAGACAAATGGCCAAGCAGAAAGAAAGATTCGCGAAGTTAAGACCGGAATTAGGAATATGATCAATGAACGACAAACCAACTGGGAACCAGCCCTTGTTGAGCTCGCTGCATATATCAACGCAGGATTTTCAGATACCTTAGGGATGTCACCATACAAGGCAGTTTTTGGCCGTCAATACCCCCTCCTACCTACAACACTATTTAAGAACTCCTCAGTCCCTGCCTCTGATGACCATCTAAACCGCCACCAAGCAATTCGGAATGATGACTTTCAAGCTGTTAAGGCTGCCCGATTCCGTAGCACCACTACTGCCCAGAAACGATGACGCAAACATGTCCCCATCTCACCAGGAGACATGCTCATAGTACACGGTAACATGTTCATTACCAATGTCGGACGCAGCAAGAAACTGCAACCCCGATGGCGCGGACCCTTTAAAGTCATATCCTTTGACGAGCATACAGAGAACTACACTGTCCAGATAGATGGACGCATGTACCGCCGCAATACTACAGTCTTTCACGCCTCAGCTGTCAAGCGATTCCACCCAAATGACGACTCCAAGTTCCCTGGAAGAACCCACTCTCGACCTGCACCTATCATCATTGAGAAGAAAGATGAATGGGAAGTTGAAGAAATCAGAGACCACTGCCTTTGGCATGGAAATGATCAGTTCCTAGTCAAATGGAAAGGATATCCAACGAGCGAAAACAGATGGGAACCACTGGAAGTACTAGAGCATGCCATGGATATGGTGAATGAATGGTGGAAAGACAATTTGCCGAATGGATCCCTTCCCCCAACAATCAACTACATCACTATGTGCTGGACACCCACGATGCCAGAAACTGAGCGATGGTATGCAGAACTCGAAACTAGAGATGGATTTTGGGCACCATACTTTGAATCGGAATTCGAGAGTAGCGATGAGGAGAATCAAGCTATGGAGCAGGCCCTCGACAACTTTATCTAGTCACCAATCACCATCTGAATACCATAACAATGTCAAACTATGTGGAGCTCAATGTGAGGCAGCGACAACAGATTGTTGGACTGTTGTTGAACCGCGATGTTATCCAACTTAAAGACTACTTCGAAATCCTCTGGATTGACTACTGTCCTGATTGCGATCATGCTTGGGTCGATGTACAGCACGAATCTGGTATTCGTGACTACTGTGATTTAGGTTTCTTCGAGTCTAAGTGTTTCCTTAGAATTTCCTCTTGTCCCTGGTGTGACACTTACGATGAAGAATTTTTAGCGGAAACTGAAGCCTTTAGTTTCTCAGACTCCGCTTTTGATGATTATTAAGTTTTGTTTGTTTAAACAGTTGTTTTGTTTTGGGGAATGTAACCGGTACGGGTACTTGGTTATTGGTTTTGTTTTATGTTTTGTTTTAAGTATCGCTTTGATACTTGGTTTGTTTTAAGTATTGTTTGATACTTAGTTTTGTTTTATGCTTTGTTTTAAGTATCGCTTTGATACTTAAAGAGTTTTACCAAAGTGTATCGATTGATACCTTTGATTAGTTTCGTTCATGCTAGACATGAACAGATTTGTGTATTTAAAGACCGCCTGTTTCTACGATAGAAAAGGCAGACTTCGACAGACCGTATTTCAATATACTTGGTTGAACGGTTACTTCTTTGTTCCTCAGTACACCCTCGAAGCCTCCTTTAGTTCTCAGCTCTCCCCTCCTCTCTGGAAGAGCAGGCCACCTGCCAACTATCGTATCTTTACCGATAACGTGATTAGTACCTTGCGAACACATTACATGACCTTCTTTTTCCCATATCTTGGTACCAATAGTTACTGTAAATATGAGAATAGGTAGAACCCAGGGAACACCATCTGCAGAGATGCACAAAAATAGAGTACATTGACACTTTTCACTGCCAGACTAGGCACTCTTTGACCAAATGGTTTTTGCACCCTTGATATCTTAGGTCCGGCCAATTAAGTACTCCCAAGGTAGCGGCATCTTATCAACATTGCAGATCCTGTGTTCTGGAATGCTGCCCTGATTGTCATTACAAATATAGTGTAATGAGAGAGGAGAGGGTTCTGGAGAATAGGGTACAAGTGGAGTAAGTATCCGATTCCGTCGGTTAAATCTTAACCATTGCAAGATTTCCTCCTTATAGTTTTCTGGAAGTAATTGTGCCATATTTGTAACGAACCAGAGTACTATTCTGTGAGGCGAAAGGAAGCTGTGAAACCAGCCCTGAGAGAAGACGAACAATTGCTGCTATGACAGAAGCTCAAGATACGTGACTTTCCAGAGTTCCTTTGCATTTTTCCTGAACCACACATCGCAAACAGGCTTGCCTTGCTCCCTTCATGCTACAAATGCCTCAAATAGCATTTTTTCCATCTCTGGCAACATACAGACAAAAGTAGCGGGTTCATCCCTCCATGACCCTTTTCCATTCTGGAGCATAATCTTCTGGGTGACTTCCGGCAGGGTCCATTGAGCTATCTTACTTATGGGAATTTTAAAAAAGCCAGAGGCTTCATCCAGGATGGGAGGGCGCAATTTCATTGCTGTATTCATGGCCTCATTGTGGACTGAGTAATATTTAATCCATGAGGACTTCGATTTTCCGTGATCGTGGATAGCTCTGCTTAATTCGCTGAACTGGTCTTACCTATACACGTATCATATCTGTTAGTATCTTCCTGCATATGTCATGTTACCACGTTCTGGATATTACCTGTACTACTTCCACGTGTTTTTCCAATGGCTTAGGCTTAGGACCCGGGCGATGTGACCTCTCATTTTCATCCTTCACTCTTCGCTTCTGAAGGGGTTTTCTAATTGGTGGCATAATAGTATAAACAATATGGCTGAGGATAACATAGAGGCAATTGAACAGAATTGGAAGGCTTTTGTTTATTCTCATGAGATCATGAGAATTCAATTGATGTTCCTTTTGTGTCTTAACCAAGCTCCCAAATAAGTATAGCTTAGCAATCGCCATCCTTGGCAACGGTCTCTATTTGGCCAGATTCTACGGTAATACGGTGTATTGCAAGTCACGCACCTTCTGTGCAATTTCTCTCCCCCCCGGCTCTCATAGCATAACTGAAACTAATTCCATATGCTGTACCATATATCAGGATTCCCTCCGCAAATGAATAACAGCGAGTGAGAGAAAGTGACGGCTAGAATAATACGGTAGTGAAGTTCAAATTGGTGTCAAAATCCTCCCTCTTGCCCTTCTTCCCACGTACAGTATTGCAAATGCCCCTTATCACATACACACTCTTTCTCCAAAACCTATCTTTAGGGAAAGCTGGAGGGAGGTATACCATAATATGGTATATAGGGTACCCCCCCTCCCCAACAAAGCCAGAAAGAATTGTGATGCAGTATCAGAGAGAGGGGGGGAGAGAGAGAGAGAGAGAGAGAGAGAGAGAGAGAGAGAGAGAGAGAGAGAGAGAGAGAGAAAAGACCGTTTCCTAAACCTGTTATCCATACACAAAGGAAGGGGAGAAAACAATATCAAGCTCAAAATGAGCAATGGGGAGCAACAAAGTAGGAATTAGAGACAGAACAGGAATAAGAAACGAGAACGACTCCGTTTGCGTGCAAGAAGCTTCTATCATACACCAAACCGAAACGACAAGAAAAAAAGGGAAGAAAAAATGAACCCCGCCCCCGACCCGAATTGACCGATCTGATCGACCCACCCGACCGAGCGACACCGCCCCACATGCACGCTTCCCAAGGCAAAGTATTAAGAAACCAACGAAATAGACAGCGAATGTATGATAGCTTGTGACCTAACCTATATCCGAACCCTTTCTTTTTTTATATGATTTTGATGTTTTCCTCATTTTTTTTTGACTCCTTTCGGATCTCAACTCCTTTCTTTCTTTCTCTTTTTTTTTTGGTTTTCCTGATTCCCAATGAGCAGCAAAGATGAATCCAACTCCCAGGACAAATCGAAAAAAGAAAAGGGAAAGGTTAACAAATGAAATGAGGGGGCCCTCATGGTCAAAGAGTATAACTGGCTAACATGAGAAAAATGAACCCCCCCGAAATTATATCTTGTAGGATAAGAAAAAACCTGACGACAAATGAGAGGTAGGAAGTCTAAAAAGGAAAAGAAACAATGAAATGTGTAGCAGGGGAAAATATATGAAAAACTATGAAACTGGATCATAAGAAAGATGTCAAAACCAGCCCTTCCCAAAAAACATCCGCTTCCCCCCCTTCCCGGACCATGAATATGCCCGTTGAGAAAAGTTATATGTGTAGTGCAATGGCCTTCCTAATGAAACTCCTCGCAAACAAACAAAGCCACGTTCCCCCAAAAAATGGAAATAGAAATTACAGACCCACCCCAACCATGCCGCCACCATGATCATTTCTCTCAAGACCATGGCAGCAACCTCGAGCACGTGTAACAGCGACCTGCTAGTATGGCCCGTCTCCGTTCCCGGCGACGTGACCATAAACGTCGTTATAACCAGCCTGGTGTTCCTCCCCTTCTATTGGGGAGGTCACCGTCGCATTTGGGCCCTCGGGTCTCCGGTAGCCTGGTGGTGGTGGTGCATTCCCGCCGCCTCCGTACCCGCCACTCCCACCCCGCGCCCCCTCTGACTGGTTCCTCTGAGATTGCGACTTCCCATGCCAATCAATTGCCATGTTCAACCTTTTGTTTTCGCCAAAAAATAGTAATAATTGGGGGGAGAGATGACATAGAAAAAGAAAGGAAAAAAATCAGGTGGGATATCCGGGAACCGGGTCAACTTACTTCGCGATATTTGGCTAGATAAATCTTCAGGGCCTCTGCATAGTTTTCGAATCCGAGTGATGTCATGGCGAAGAGTATATCTTCTCCGTTGACCGTCTTCCTTTTCTCCTGTTGGCATTTTTCCGATGCTGCAACACACGTGGCGCGGAAATCAACCGATTCGTCAGTTCAAAAACACCTTCGATCTTAAGATGTGCGTGCAGGGAAGACCATTTCGCGAAATGTTCCAATAGAACCACTTTATATAGGATGAAGTGGGGGGAATAAATAAATAAGTTTCCTGGTAACTGGAAAAGTCTCACCTTCGCTGGTGATAAATGAAATAAACTCGCTGACGCATTCTTGCATACATTCTTTTGCCTCCTTTGCGATTTTGGCGTTTTCCGGCAACGCGGTTTTCATGATTCGAGCGACTGGAGCAAAATTTCGAATATCAGCATCGGCAAGCGCAGAGATTGATGCCTGACTCGCGCATCTGGACGGGTTCGTGTAATTTTGGGTAGAGCCGTGAAGGCGGCCGGGCAATCGATCTTCCTCCATGCCTGCATCCCGACACGAGTCCAATTGTACCACGGGTAGCATCTGAGCAATTGGTAGGGAATAGGACAACAAATGGAGAAGGGAAGTTGGAAATGAAGGGTGTCTAGTTAGGGTACGAATTGCGGGGGCGGGGAAGGAGGGGGGGTATGTGAAGTGTGGGTGTGCTTGAATGAGTTGAGTTGCGCGAGAATGATTCTGTGTGTGTGGAAGGTCTTTTTTCCCTCCCACAAGCATAAATACAAGCCGGGAGGTATAGACAGAGATAGATAGGCGAAAGATTTGACTCACCGTTCGCAATTGGTAGCCATCTGTCCTGTTCTTTGACCTCAAAATCAAACGCAGGCTGCTGTTGAGAAGTTTCCGGCTGATCCATGTGCTCCTGTTCGTCAGGCGACTGCACTCCAACTTCACCCTCCAGGTCTTTCGAGGGGGAAGCCGACATGATATGGTGTACGCTGGGTGAGAATCTGAGATGCCAGCTATGGGATGTGCTGGTCGGCCGTCAGTGAACAACCAATCGTGATGACGTGTCGGTGGTTGCAAGCCTATGCGTCCTCTTCCCGGACCGAATCCCTGGGATGAAGAAGAAAATTAGAAGGGGGTGGGAAGGAAGGGGTGAGGGGGAGGCAGATGAGGTTGAGAAGGGGGGGTGGGGCGCGAAAGAACGGCTGCGCTGTATGGTATGGAATCTAACCAGTATTGCAGCACAGTAGGCGGTGGCAGCAGACAGTAGGTAATGTGTAGCGGTGATGGTGGTGGTGGACCGAAAGACGTAGTTGGTTGACGCACACCTCCTTCTGACGGCAGACCTGCTGAGCAAGCCGCTTGCTGTTAAGATACGGATACTCGAGTAGATGGTGGTGGTGCACCTGAGGCCCGGTGTCGGCGAAGGGGGGGGGTTGTGTTCGTGCTGCGGACAACAACAGAACCACCAGCAGGAAGAGAGAAGCCAGAAGCAACCCCGTTCAACCCAAACCCAACTCCCCAACTCCGCCTGGTCTCCTAATAATAGAGTGGACTGGCACTAGGAACACTCGTACACAAGAGTGTCACAGTATGCTCTGCCTGGCAAATATGCACAATGTCTGTTTTTGCAGATTGAGAGGGGGGATTGAAGGGAGGCGTGAGGAAGAAATACCATACGTGGGTTGTCGCTCGCTGCTGTGAGAGTACTACTGTAAGAAATCAATCAAGACCAGAAGCGAAAGAAAAAGGATAAAAAGAAAAGTGGAAAGGAAAAGAAAAGAAAAAAGAAAAAAATCCTCACCTCACTGGAATCTCGAAGGCGTGAGAGATCAATCGACACGGATAATGAGCCTCAGTAAGGTCTGAAGGGGAAAGTAAGAATCTCGATCGGATTGAACAAAGTTTTGTTCCTTTTCTTTACACTTCTTCCTCAATAAGACTAGCGAATATGCTTTTTTTCTTCTCGATTCTCAACCGTACCGTGATAGATAACAAGAGTATGACAATCGAGTACTGGTAACGCGTTCGAAACGAAGTGTCCACAGACACATATCACATCAAACCAGAAGGGAGATGTGGTACAGCACTGAGTAGGTGAGAAACAATAACAAGATGAAAGAGAAAATAAAAAATACAGCACCAACCTCTTCTAAAAAAATTAACCACTCCAAAGCCAGGGTCCTCCTTGGCCAATCCACCAAAACTTCTGGCATCATCTCCTTCATCGTTCACCATTAAGAAATTTCGTCCGCTATTTAGATCCCTATCCCCTCTCCAATTGCCTCCCTCTCCATCCTTCCCCCTTCGCTCTGCCAAAGACCGTTGGCCACTCGCCGACGGCTGGGGCAGAAAACTGTAACACCAATACCGAATCCGTTTGTCTGAGACTGTGTGCAACTTGAGTGAAGGGTGCCCAGCATCCACCCCCCCCAATTTCCAAAGTTGCCCGCAGCACTGTGCTGATCTCCCACGAAGTAGTTTACGGTGACCATTCTCATTCGTTGCCAACAGAACGGTGGGTGGGATTGGCAATGACCTTCTTTCCATCAATCCCCCCCCCCGTGCCCTCGCACTCATTTGGCTAATTTTTTGGAAATTTGGAAGGTTCGAAAGCTTCCACGCTTGTTGCCATCGTTGAGCCTCCCCATCAATCTCCCCACCCCCCCCTTTTCACTTTTTGGCTGGAATGAAAAAAGAAAAGGAAGAGGTGAAAGGGATTGAATAGAAATCGGAAGGCAAGGAACTACACCTCTTCTCCCCAACCCCCATTTCTCCTTCACACGCACACACTCATACTCATGCTCACACACGCGCAGATGCATCAAAGCACCTTTTCCTGATATCCTCCTTCCTCTTCACTAAACACCAAACTTTTTCACCCCTACCTATTTCTGTCTGAAAAAAAAAGGCGGAAGTGTTTGACGGCAGTTACACGCGCGGTAGAAACTGGGCGGAAAGTTGGTATGGGCCGCACAGCGTAATGACACGACAGGCGGAGGGCCTTGACGCTGTGCTCTCTAACTACAAGACAGAATTTTAGATTTACCAAAAACAAAGTCTTGCCAACATCTCGACGTTGGCACGAAACTTCTCTACGCTGCGGTTCTTTCCATGTTACTCCCCCTCCTCCTTCCTTCATCCACACCAGCCCCCACACACATACCCCCTCTTGTCTAAATGATGGTTGTTTGCGTGGCCAATTGTCCAGATAAAAATGGAGTTTTGGCCCACGGGCGGTACGCAATGACAATGCACCTCGATCAAAATCACCCAACACCTAACGGAAGTGGTGGAGCACGAACATGGTGTAGCGAGAATTATCGGCATTAGCACCACCACAATCGTCACTATTAACAGTATTAGTACAACTAATTATTGTACTCTGACAATAGTACGCTAACAGCCTACAGCTTTAGAATTTCATTCAACCTACAGTGCATCTCGCAACAGCAGCAAGCAAGCATTCTATCATACATATCACGCAGCTAGCAGAACAACGCTTGCTTATTCGGATCGGATGATACAAATCCAGTGCAAGGCGCCGGCGGAAACTAACGCTGGGCTCTTCTTGACGTTGGAACCTAACCCTGTCCTTCCCCCTTGCCGTCTGTGTTTCAGCCTTACCTTCTCCTCTAATGACGTACTCGAGTGCCGGTGCCGCACGACCTCTTTTCCTCAACTCTCTCCGGAAAATCAGGGTGTGGCGAAAAATGACACCTCAGGACTACATATCTCAGAGCTGTTTCAGAAGTATTTGCGTGCGCGCATACTATCTTTTTTCTACTACTGTACACCTACAGTACATTAGGTTTAATGTACTACGGGATTATACTTCGTGCTTCATACCCAAGGCGCACACACACGACACAACAATCACGAGTTATAAGAGCCTTGCCAATAGGAGAGAAAAAACTTTATTGGAATCATGTATCTCAACATGACTTGCAGTAATGTACCACCTATCAGGTAGACTCAACCAATTTCATCGAAGGAAAATTTCCACCCAATTCCTCACCCTCGGGTCGGCAGAACAGCGCCCAGGGAAAAAAGGCTTTTTTCCCTCGATGATCCTTGCAAACCACACAAACGATGCTCGAAAAATCCTTGACAATAAAATCTTTACAATGGCGATGTGATGGTGTGATGCAGGGAGGAGGGGGGGTATTTTTTTGTCACCTTGGGTTCGGTTTGGGCGGTGCTGCTCTGCTGTCTGTAAAACCGGCGAAAGACATGTTGAGAACTTACAGGATCCAAATGGGAAAAAAGAAAAGAAACCAAAAATGCTAGTGAACTGCACAACCACAATGCAAGTACGGTTCAGTGAAACTTGAAGGGGGGGTTTTCCTACCATACTCTCTTCTCACAACCGTCGATAAAAAGTAAGTATTGCAAAAAAAGAAAAAAGTCAGGATTTTCTCAAAAAAAAAAAATAAATAAAAATATAAACAGAAGCGAGGATTGAGCAGGCGAGACTTGACAACGCATCATATCATCGCGTCACTAAACCACCAAGAAAGCAAAGAATCACAGCGAAAGATATAAAAATAAAATAAAAAAACAAACCCCCCCCCGAACGTAAAAACGAGGCTGTACTACCTGTCTCCAGTTTGGGATGGCATGCGGTAACTCACGATGCCATACCAGCCTGACCGAACCGGAACGAGAGATCAAAACTAATCAACAGACGATTCGCATCAAGCAAAAGCGTCATCGGCACTTTTCCTAGCTCGCCTTTCCTTCACCTTTCCTTCGCTGCACCTCCTGGTACCGTGTTAACTAGCGGTGACACCGGAAATGGAGTTATTACACATAAATCAATCAGAAAGCAAGTGTGACTTGATACTGGTACGCGAGTGAAATCAAACCCACTCACTTCTCCCTCTGAAAAGGCGGTATTAAAGACTTTGGTGGAAACAGCGCCCCGTGGCAAACTACCGCAAAATTCTAACTTATACTTGTAGCAAGCAACTTTTCTCGCAAGCCCAGTTCTCCTATCGGGTCACGTCCTCTGTTATGGTCTATGATACTTGTAGCTACATCTCCAGTGACTTCACTTGAGATGGTATTTTTCACTCTTTCCTTTTCCATCCTTCACCTTCCTCCCCAATCTCTTACTATTTCCCCTTCTTTCCCTCCTTCTTTCCCTCTACATTCCCATTCATCATTACCACACTAGTTAATATTCCAGCCAACTCAGCGATGGATACGCTACTACTACGTCCGTCATACAGAAAGAGAAAAGTGCGAAAAAGAAAAAAATGGTTATCTGAACTTTTGATAGGATGGTTGGTTTGGTTGTCATGTCATGTCATGTAGTGTACTGTGCGAGCCCCCCCTGCGTCCGGCCCAGTCCGGTCCAGTCAGTCCGGTCTAATCTGGTCTAGTTTGGTCTGGTTGTAGTTGGTAGTGTCTGATGATACGGTATTGTCAGATAAAACCGGGTGTTGGCGGTGAGCGTTTGTTTCTTGGGTTTTGAAGAGGAGGGGTTTCAGGGGTGTTTGAATGGATGGATGAAAGAATGGTATTGTGTTTTGGTGGTGCTTAGAAGTCTGTTTGTTTGGTGACTGGATAACCTGGTGGTAGCGGTGAGTAGGGAAAGTGTGATTTATCTCCAGTATTGTGCAGTGCTCCAACGAGCGTTGGTTTGACCGATTAATGAATGGATGATTTGCGGATGAGTGGGTGAACACGGTATCATACAGTATATAGGCTTTACTTTGCTGTAGGTACCACATCGTAAGATATGATCTTGGGATTGTATATTTATTCTTGACGGTGACAATTATCACTACTTTGGGGGGGGGGTTCTGGTGTCCACAGCAGAGGATGATATTGTACAGTACCGTCCTGTGGCTGTATCACCATGTCCTACCTTTACCCACCTCGAGCAACAAGCAAGTAATTCCGCAAGAAACAAGGGGAATCAAACAAGCAAAATTACAAGTTATGATATGGTAGTATCAAAGAATGAAAAGAGGTGGAAAGGGGAGCGGAGAAAGGGAAACCCTCCCCCCCCCGAGAAATCTATGATGCGATACCACCACCACCCAGAAACCAAACAAATAAGCACTTTTTCACTTTCCCACCACCATTCCCCTCGAGAAAAAAAGGAATCTCAATTTCCTCCCACCAAAACTACCGATTGACAACCTGCACATTATTCTTAACCTATAAGCCATCAGCCAACTTCCCACCACGAGAACAAAAAAACAAAAATAAACAATAATAAACAAACCTTCCACTTCTCCATCTCCTCCTGCTTCCTCTTATACTCCTTCACCAGCCCCTCAAGCACGCTCTTCAACCCCTCAGCATTGGTCCGCACGGCGGGAATGACGTCCCCGACACAGCGCTCCACCAGGACCCCGTTCACCAGGCGGAAGCACTTACGCCCCGGATCCACCGGTTCCAGGCTCTCGAGGACGAGTTTGTGCTCCTCAGCTTCCTGCTCCACGTCCCCAATCTTTTGCGCGAGTTGTTGGAGCGCGGATTTGTAGGTTGAGTATTGGGTTTGGAGGTCTGTTTTTTTTGTTTTTGTTAGTTGGGAGTTAGTTGTGTGTGGGGGTAGGGGAAGGGGACAGAGGGGGGGGAAGGGTGGACCTTGCTGTTTTTTGGCGACGGAGGGGGAAGGGGCTGTTGACATTTCAGCTTCTCGTTTTTTTTTTGCTCCTTCGTTTTGGAAGGCTCGTCGCTGTGGTTTGTGGTGATGTTCGAGTAGGAGGTTACCGGTAGTGACGAGTGGTTTGGGATAGTGGTGGCGGAGTGGGGGGGTGGTGGTGAGAATGCGACCTTCCCCGCGTTTGGCTTGGCGGTGGTTGGCTGGTTGGTTGGTTGTCGTAATTCGTGGGGTGAGCTACGTGGTGTGGCGGTCATGCAGTCTCACTCGAGGTATGTGTGCACTGTCAACTCTGGAATCGGGTGTGGGGTGCAGGCAGCAGTGTGTGTGCTTGTGGGCCCTCGGGGTTTTGGCCGGTTGGTCAGTGATTGGAAGAGGCGCTTTTCACCTTTTCCTTCTGAAGGTGCATTGTCCAGTCGGAATCTGCCTTATTGGTAGGTTTCCTCTTCTGGGGAGGATTTGGTTTCGACAGCGGTGGGCGCATTCTAAAGTTTGCCGAAACAGATGATCCCCCGGACGTAACTCTAATGTTTAGATAATCGTACTATATTTTCTTGTCGATGTTGCGACAGGGGCTATTGGTAATGGCACCGGGCTGTGGCATCTGCGCGGATCCATGATTCGAGTGACACCTCATGAGTGTCTATGTATTCTTGTCATGATATCATTTCATACGCTACCAGCCTATCATAAGAAATCTACAAGAATAGCCGATATATCTGTAAGAGCGTTATACCCGCTGTAAATAGGAGAGAAGAGATTGGAAAAAAAAATGGAAAATGAAACGATTAAACCGCCTCTAACAGGATCAATTGAGAGACGCCTCGACTAGCCAGAGAGGAAGAAAAGCATCCGCCTAGCTATAGAGAAAACCAGAACCAAAAGCAAAGAAAAACCAGCCCACTTAGGCACTCTTACCTGCATCCTCCTTCAATGTAACAATTCTATTGAGCACAAATCTATCATCGGTAGAATCGCTATCAAGCGCAAAGTACCCGACGCGGAGCGCCTGGAACCTACAGGATTCGGGTCCAGCCCGATTGGAGTTTTTCTCTCCCTCCAACTCAGGCCATGGTGCACGACGGTGAACCTCGTGAATTCCTGTTTCAATGATGGCATCTTTGTAAACGTGTTCGCTGTCAGGATTGATATCCGCAAGATAACTGTCTGGATTATCCTCAGGGTTCTCGGACTTGAAGAGCTGATTTGTGAGGCGTGCCTCAACGCGAACTGGAGAGCCCTTACTGGGAGCATCGCACACCCACTGGATGTATGTCTTTGGCTTCTTGAATTTCCCGGTGTTTTCGTATTCCGCACGGACTTCGGTGACGTTACCAGCCTTGTCCTTGGTGTAAGATGTCGCACGAATCGTGAATGGAACTTTGAGGAGCCCGACAGATTTGCCCGGTGCGAGACGGAAGTAGTCGGCAGAATCTTCCTCACGGAAGTCGGAGCGGTCGATGTACACTTTGCGGGTGAAGGGGACCAAGTGCTCTCCGAGCTTAGAGTCATTAGGCATGAATGGGACGGAGAACTCCTCAAGATGGTCTTCTGGGAGATTCTCAATGATGATGGGAATTGGGTCAAGGATCATCATCAAACGGGGAACTGTCTCTTCTAGATAGCGACGTACTGTCTGCTCAAATCGCTTAATCTGGACATAGCTGTGGGCAGTAGTGACTCCCAATTCATTGACGAATGCAAGAATTGCCCCAGGGGGGATTCCACGACGTCTGAAATCTTCAGTCGAGCCCCCACAGTACGGAACGAAAAGTAGGCTCACCTAATGGCGACAAGAGTGTAGAGTCTGGGATCATCCCATCCACGGACATAACCTCCAGAAACCAGTTTGGCGATCTTTCTCTTACTCATGATAGTACCAGTCAAATTTAGACGGCCATACTCTCTCTGCTGCGGCCTATAAATTCCCAAAGCGTCGCAAAGCCAGTCGTAGGACTCCCTCGAGTTAATGAACTCCGTAGTACAAAGCGAGTGGCTAATGGAAGATATTAATATGAATGATATCCTGTGGAGGTAACTAAAACTCACGAGATATTTTCGAAGGAATCGCACAGGCAGTGGGTGAAGTCATAGGTAGGATAAATATTCCACTCGCTACCTGTGCGGTGATGCGGAGCGCCATCCAAGACCCTATACGCGGTCAAATCCCACATCTTTGCAAGTTAGCACCTAAATATTTATGATCGGCATTAGATGTACCTGTGGGTTCCCCGAACCAAGAATATTCTGCTTCATCCTCAACATTGCCTCCTTAGGCTTATATTTCCCGCCCCTCATATTTCTAAATTCCTGCAAGCTCTCCTCGATAGGTCTGTTCCTATGTTTGCATTCAAATCTCTTCCCACCATTGTCCTTGCCACCTCTCTGAAGGTTGACTTCTTCAGCCGTACAATGACAAATATAGCCCTTGCCACGCTTGATCAAGTCCTCCGCCAACTCATAGAGTCTCTGAAAGTGATCACTTGCATAAGTAATCCTGTAAGGCTGAAATCCCAACCACTCAACAATCTCGCGAATAGCAGTGAAATAGCGTTCCTCCTCGGCCTCCGGGTTAGTATCATCATAGCGGAGATAGCACTCCCCTCCATGATACCTTGCAAACCCAAAGTTGATAGTGATAGCTTTGCTATGACCAATGTGCAGGTATCCATTTGGCTACCACACCATTAGCACAACCCACGACTGAGCAGCAGCAACGAGAAACTAGCCTCGGGCGGGAACCTAGTGAAGACTCTACCTCCAGTAGCCTTCAAATGCGCCTCCATATTCGTCGGGACTATCTGCTCATTCCCACCGGGCCTGTGCAAACCGGCCAAGAATCCCTCTTCGAACATCCTATTCTTGCTAATATCTTCATTCTCCACCTTAACTTGCTTAGCGCCAGCAGCCGCAGGCGCCTTTGGCTGTTTCTTGGGTGGTGCATCGCGCTCATCCTTAGGCCCAAGCAGAGCAGCAAGTTGAGCGTCGACCTCCTTCTTGAGGTCGGCAGGGGGAGCCCATTTCAGATCCGTAGAAGTTTTCAAGGTTACCAGTGTCGGAGTAAACGCTTTATACCGCTGCTCAAGAATAGTGCTCTTGTGCTCTTCGATGTAAGCCCTGACCTCCTGCTCAATTTTCTCAGAGGTAAATTCCACTCCTGTTGCTCCATCAGCACATGCCCGGTCCCGTGAACAATTCATGGAAGTGGAAGGGAAACCCTACCGACACCGCACTCCTTATCAAACTCCGCAACATGCACATCTCCCTTCTTCCCCTTAATATATTTAACGGCAGCCTCAATCTGCGGATTGGTCTTTAACTTCCTGCTGAGCACCGCATCCACGACAAACGCCCTCTTCCCGTCGTCCCCACCAACATCCTTCATAGCCGTAACGACAGCAGACAGCAACGCCCCGACCTTTGCATCGACGGGAAGATCAATGTTGCTCAGGACTTGGGCCCAGGCTGTTGTTAACTTTTTATTTTTCAGTGCTTCCTTCAGTGGCTTTTCGCCGAGACCTAGCTTGGGGAATTTTTCTGTGAGGACCTCTTCGGGTGTTGGTTCGCTCATGGTGTTCTGGGCTTGCTTTTATTATTATTATTGGGGGGGGGGGCTCGGTTTGGTATCTGTTGAGGATGAGATGGTGACAGTAGTGGTTTGTTTGGAGCGTATGGTAGGTGGGGTGGTTGGTTGGAAAATGCCACACGGCCATGGTAGGGCAATGGGGAGTCCTGGCAGGGTCAAGTACTTCAATTTGGCTTAGTAATACATGTTAGAAGTTGTCCAAATGTGGAGAACCACCAGTTAATTTGGCTTTCTTGGCAACGTTAACTGACATCTCGAGTCCCTTAACAGCAAATAACTGTGCAGCGACATTGTGTCTCCCTCGCCCAACTTTCCAAGTAAAACCCCTATAACCTGCCCAAAAGTTAATATTTTTCAGAATCCCTTCTACCTTCCTAAACTCCAGCTTGTTTGGTATCTATCGAAAAAAATAGAAAGTACCATAGAAATAGCCATTGTTGTCGAGGAGCAACCAGCATCCCAAAGTGGTGCATTTTGCAGGTCCGATCTGCTCCGGTTAAAAATTTCCCCCATCACACCATGACTCGTACGATACTACAAGTATACATGACAGCCCCTCGGGCTTTGCTCTTCGTGGCCCGGGGAAACCATGCGGATATCTTAATCGCTATTATGATCACTGAATCTTGTCATCACCCCTAAGGACACAAGAGCAACGATATAGCTTTCGCTCATCCAGATAGATGCTAAAGCGCGGGCGCAGGTACCATAGTCGTGAAGGCAAATCGGTGACAGTTGGGCCCCTCGCCCCCTCCAGGGTCCGCCCGTAGCCGGAAGAGGTTATGGTACGCCCCACTTTCTTCCCTATTCACCAAAATTTTCACATGTTATCACTCGATCTTCCTGATCCAGCTCGCTCTACATACATACCGGTACTGTACTGTTGCAATACTTATGTGGGTCGAGTTGAAAGTCGCACTCCCGAAACCAGGTATTGTAGTGCTTGTAAATAGCGATCGTCGGTCAAATGGGAATCACAGTGGCCATGTCGATGAAGCACTGAGCGCAGTGTACGAGTGAGTCAATACACCCGAGCACTTCTCGTAATGGCTCTTTCCTGCTGAATTCGTGAAGCACCTACTCGAGTACGGTATTTCCACAACAGAGCTGGTAGGAATTGTTCCAGTTGATTGTGCGTCTTGGTCAAGATCTGGCACCTCATTTGTCCTGTCCCCCTGTAGGTGGGGCAAAAAAAAAAAAAAAAAAAAAGAATCCCACCAGAGGAGTACGATTTATTAATAGTGTGTGATTGGTATAAGCGTTTGACTAACTTATCCGCTATCTAGAGGACCATAGGTAGATTATAATATTTAATCCAGAGGAGGTGAAATTGTGACTTGATTGAGCAACATTTACCATTTCCCTCCAGTTTATATATCTCAAAAACTGTGAGATTTTTGGAAGCAGGTAAAAGGTTGGTGTAAATGGGTACCGAGAGGCCTTGGGGTGCTCAACATTGTGGTTCTCGTTCTATAGTCCTTTAAAGTCTGTTTATTGCTTTTAATTAACAGTTGTTTGAGTCATCGGCTGCCCAAGTATCACCTCCCGCATCCGATTGTCAATCGTTAAGCTGGCTCAATTAAATTTATTTATTTATTTATTTATTCCGGAGGGCCCTGGAGAATGTGGGCCTGGACAGGAATCTGAGGTTTTTTGAAAACTATTGACCGTTGTAACCCGGACCTTCGGATGCAACATTACCCAGAACCAACTTGTATGCAAGTGAGCCTGCGTATGATAGGCAAAAACATCCTTCGCAAATAAGCAATGAAGTGGGCTGAAGTTCAGAGTCGATCGCTCAGCGACCTTGTAGACTAGCCTTGTCCAACCAGAGAATTCGACAAACCTTCCCGGCCTAAAGTTAACGATCGCCAGATTGTTCGAATGAGCCATCTCATCCTGACAAATGCGAAGAATCCCAATAAAACAACTCTGGAACCACAAATGCTAAACGACCCCTCAACATATTTTCCCATCACCTCGCTAACCCCAAAATACGTCATTGGCTCGATGCATCCATCGCCACGGGCATCAAGGGAGAAAGAAGATAACCGCAGGTCGGCACGTTGATACAGACAAGTTTAGAATATCGGGCACTACCCACGATTCACAAGCTCCCAACCGAGCACAACATCCCATTCTCGATGCACTACGGTACTCGAGTATCTCTCATAATACTAAACACCTCCCAAACAAACAATCGCGGCATACATCCACAAAGCATCAAAGCATCCGATCTTCACTTACAATAATACGGTAGGACACTCCCAATCCACATCTATCAGGAGAAAACCTCACACTAGTACCCTCCAAACAAAACCTTGCAGCCCAATGTGATACCACATCGCATGAAAAATCCATCCCTCTCCACCCGGGGATCGGATCAAGCCTTGCCGTATATCAAAATGCCAAAGTGCAAAACTCCTCTCAGAAACCCGAAAACCAGGTTCTCCCGTGAGGATGAAGGGGAAGGGAGTTAAATTCCTAGGGGTGGAACGGTAAGCGAGTGAGTGATTAGCAATGGGAGAGGGAGTTGGGACGAGTATCAAAGGAAGGAGGGAAAGAGGGAAAGAAGGAAGGGGAGAAGGGGAGGAAGAGAGCGATAACGAAGGAGAGAAAGAAGGAATGGAAAAGCGGGGGCAATAAGGTAAGGAAATTGATAATAAGGTAGTCAAGCAAGGTTAGGCATTGGTTGCCTCGTTTCTCGGTTTGTCAGGGACCAGATTATGGAACAAGTAGCCTGCCTGAGAAGTCAAAGTAAAGAAGATTCTACGGCACAATATTCACGTAATAAATCATGGCATATACTACTCGTCATTAGGATCGCCCACCGCCTCATCCCGTGAAAACCGGTCAGGACGGCTGGCTTGCAAGTGCCCAATGCTAGAAGTGAAAATAGAATCCTCCGCCTCATCGTAAACCGTGACTCAATGCGACCCCCCTCAAAACTACAGCTGTCAACTCGAGTGATACGCCATGCATACTCCAAGCCTCAATTGTGAACGAACTCTGTGACAAACCCTTCCCCCCCCCCGAAAAAAAAAGAAGCGGGAAAACTTCGGTTTCCTTCCGAGCCCACAGTCTCGCGATGGCAAGAAGAGGGAGGGAAAATGCGGGGTGCAGCCCAGCCGAGAAATTTGTGGTTCATTATCGGCAAGGATGGGACAGTGTTTTGCCGGGGGTGGTTTTGGTGGTGCGGAGATGCGCGCGCACACACAGGGAGGCGGGGAGGTGGGTGGTGATATGGGATGTGATAGTGTGATAGCGATAGGAACCGGGAGGGGTGTGTGTGTGTAAACCTTTTATTCTTCCACTACCTCACCTACTAACTAAAGTAATCGGAGTACGGCATGGGATACTGCCCCCAGCCCTGGGCCCCCCTCAACGAAATCCTTCGCTACACCCCCCTGTAGGCCATACAAAAGAAACTCCCACTCCCTTCTTCCCCTCTCCCTCAAACAGCTTTGGTCCGTCACAAAGGAAACCCAGTCCTGCCCCCCGGCCCCATGGTCGTAGACAAAATAAAATCCAACAACAAAAGAAACCCATTCCTGCCCCTCTGGCCCCATGGTCGTGAACAAAAGAAATCCAAACCAACAAAGGAAACCTACGCCTGCCCCCTGTGCCCCGTAGTCGTGAACAAAGGAAATCCAAGCAAACAAAAGAAACCCACGCCTGCCCCCTGTGCCCTGTGGTCGTGTACATTATGAAATAACCATCTGACCAGCATTACTCCCCTGGTCCACTGGGCGCCTCCTCCGTGTCTTCCGTCGTCATAGCCTAGCGACCCCTTCTTGCCGGGTTGTGTATCCTGGCATGTGCCGACTCATGCTGCATGTCTCTCAGTACCATTTCCCCGCATATCTTGCAGGGTCGCCGTGGCCTGGGTTTCGCTGGTGCCTGTAACGTGTTCGCAAGGAGCTAATCACGTTTACGGTAAAAGGTACGATAGTTGGCAGGTGGCCTGCTCTTCCAGAGAGGAGGCGAGAGCTGATAACTAAAGGAGGCTTCGAGGGCGTACTGAGGAACAAAGAAGTAACCGTTCAACCAAGTATATTTGAAATACTGTCTGTCGAAGTCTGCCTTTTCTATCGTAGAAACAAGCGGTCTTTAAATACACAAATCTGTTCATGTCTAGCATGAACGAAACTAATCAAGGGTATCAATTGATACTCTTTGGTAAAACTCTTTAAGTATCAAAACGATACTTAAAACAAAACATAAAACAAAACCAAGTATCAAACGATACTTAAAACAAACCAAGTATCAAAGCGATACTTAAAACAAAACATAAAACAAAACCAAGTATCAAACGATACTTAAAACAAACCAAGTATCAAAGCGATACTTAAAACAAAACATAAAACAAAACCAAGTATCAAACGATACTTAAAACAAACCAAGTATTAAAGCGATACTTAAAACAAAACATAAAACAAAACCAAGTATCAAACGATACTTAAAACAAACCAAGTATCAAAGCGATACTTAAAACAAAACATAAAACAAAACCAATAACCAAGTACCCATACCGGTTACATTCCCCAAAACAAAACAACTGTTTAAACAAACAAAACGTAATAATCATCAAAGGCGGATTCCGAGAAACTCATGGCTTCAGTTTCCGCCAAAAACTCTTCATCATAGGTATCACACCAAGGACAAGAGGAAACTCTAAGGAAACACTTAGACTCGAAGAAATCTAAATCACAGGAGTCACAAATACCAGATTCGTGCTGTACGTCAACCCAAGCATGATCACAATCAGGACAGTAGTCAATCCAGAGGATTTCGAAGTAGTCTTCAAGTTGGATAACATCGCGGTTCAACAACAGTCCAACAACCTGTTGTCGCTGCCTCACATTGAGCTCCACATAGTTTGACATCGTTATGGTATTCGGATGGTGATTGGTGACTTAGATAAGGTTGTCGAGAGCCTGCTCCATAGCTTGATTCTCCTCATCGCTACTTTCGAACTCTGACTCAAAGTGTGGTGCCCAAAATCCATCTCTAGTTTCGAGTTCTGCGTGCCATCGCTCAGTTTCTGGCATTGTAGGTGTCCAGCACATGGTGATATAATTGATTGTTGGAGGGAGGGATTCATTTGGCATGTTGTC